ACATGCAACCACTTACTTGTGTATGCTTTCATCGCCTTATCTAAGATAATTTTCTTTTAAATTATGGAAGTAGAGCTGATCTTTCAGTTCTGTATCTTCATACTTGTCTAAGAGTTTTCTCAAAGTGGAAAATGCATATTGCTTGAATTATTTTGTTGTGAACGCTGATGAATATTTCTTTTATATCGCAGGCTTAATATTTCTGTACACACGGATGCCTGTATCAAATACTACACTGTCACTGACGCTCCAAAAGTTGTAATGGTCCTCTTGTCTGCAACGAACCATAGGCTGGAATATCTGAATATATGCAAGGCGATCTCACAGTACTGGGATCTGCCCGGAGGTGTGGTCTCTCATTTAAGAGCAGTGGAGACTGATTTAGTAGCTCACATGCAAAAAGAAGGGGATACAGAGGTGTCAGACCTGAGTAATCCTGAGAATGCAAGTAGTTCCAGTAGAAATAATATTCAAAATGTGTTTGGCCTCTGCGCATCTGCTTCAGGCTATGCTGGCGGTCCTGTTTTAGGTAAGAATATGGTTGCTGGAATTACATACAAGGGTTTAACATTTAAACCCCACGCATACATTAATCACTACACAAATGGAGAAATAGCTGCATCAGCTGCTACTACTTTGGCTGTCCTATTGTCAGAAGAAACCCATGAACCTGATCAACACAAGTTTAGTAATGCCAAGAAAGCTGCCTCAAGTAACATTTTGCTACAGGTGAAAGCATTTTCGTTAGTTGCCTCGAGTTTCTTCTGGCCAAGTCCTGATAAGAAGGAAATCACCAGGGAAAGGTGTGGTTGGTGTCATTCTTGCAAACTCACATCAGCTAGTAGGAGAGGATGCATGTTAAATGCAGCTGTAACAGGGGCCACCAAAAGCGCTGTGAAAATCTTTAGTGGTCTTTTTCCTCTAAAGAACGGTGAGGAGGTGCTTTCTAGTATTGCAGCATATATACTATACCTCGAGGAAAGCTTACATGGTCTCATTGTGGGGCCATTTCTCAGTGAGAGTCTTAGGAAACATTGGCGTAAGAAGATAGAGGAGGCCTCAACATGCAAAGCGATGAAAGCCCTCCTGCTTGAAGTAAGTGATTTTTTTTTTCCTTTCTAAAACATTTATGTTCTTATCCATTTTCTTTTGCGATATAAATGTGTACATTTCTTATAATCTGCTTTGTTCAGATTTGATATCGTCAACAATATGGTGATATGTTAGCGTTCAATGAGTTGATGTGTTTTCATTAGCAATTTTTTTTTAATGCTTTCATTAGCATAATATGGTTTGTTATGCTTGTTTGCAGCTTGAGGAAAATATTTGCAGTATTGCTCTGTCAAACGATTGGCTTAAACAAATGGATGATTGGTTAATAGAACATTCTATTTTTCAAAGCGCTCGAGTTACTGTTGGGGCCACACAGAAACGTGGACCTAGTAAGAGGAGGCAGAGGAACCAGGCTGAAGTTACAGCCGAAGGTTCTAATGATGATAGCTTCACTTGGTGGCGAGGAGGGAAATTATCAAAAGTTATTTTTCTGAAGGCAGTCTTGTTGAAGCCAACGATAAGGAAAGCAGCTTGGCAAGGTAACCTTTTTTGGCTGAACTTTTTGTGCTTGTGGTTTTACAATTCTAGTATTAATTTTTTGATACTTCTACGAGTGATATCCTATTTGATTTCACTCTCGGGATGATGCTAAGTTGTTTGTTCTTTCATTAGGTGGTTTGAAAAAGCTTCCTGAATTTAATTATGGTGATGGTTCTTACATTCCTAAAAGAAGTAGGCGGTCTATTTGGAAAGCTGCAGTTGAAAGTAGCAAAAACATTTCTCAACTTGCTCTTCAGGTGTCTTCTATCATCAATTGTTTTTCAAATGATTGTGTTTCTATGTTTATTTGCTGTTCCCCTGAAACTCAACTGAATCTCGGCCAGGTTAGGTACCTTGACATGAGTATAAGATGGAGTGAACTTGTACGCCCAGAGCAAAACGTGCAAGATGTTAAAGGTCCAGACACAGACGCCAGTGTTTTTAGGAACGCTAGTATATGTGACAAAAAGATCATAGATAACAAGGTTAGATATGGAGTTGCCTTTGGAAACCAAAAACACCTTCCATCTCGTGTCATGAAGAATGTCATCGAAGTCGAGAAAACGGAAGATGGAAATGAAAAGTTTTGGTTTGCTGAAGCACGCGTTCCCTTATATTTGATCAAAGAATATGAAGAGAGATTGCATAGGTTTCATGTGCCTTTTATCAACAAGCCACCAGAAAGATTATCAAAGCTACAGAGAAAGCAACTGAAAGCTTCTCGAGCAAACATCTTTTCTTATCTAGCCTCTAGGAGGGACAACACGGAGAAGTGCTCTTGTGCCTCATGCCATCTTGATGTTTTATTGAGGTATTTTCTTTAGCTCTCTTCACCTTTCAAGATATAGACTTGTTTACATCATTGACTTTTGTTCTCGCTCCCTACATGTGTACAGGGATACTACAACATGCAGTTCTTGTCAAGGTAAATTACTCCTGCAGAAGCCACTTAAAGATGAAGAATTGGTTGTGATTTAAGTGTGGAATCTTTTTTTTTTTCCTCTCAGGTTTCTGTCACAAGGAATGTACTACTATGAGCACACAACACACAGCTGGGAAGGTTGAAACTATGGTAACCTGCAAACGGTGCTACCTTGCTAGAGCTCGTTTACTAATCAATAACAATCACAGACATCCAACAACACCCACTGTCCTGATCAATGCACAACATCAAAACGTAGTCACTCCTGTCATTAAGACCCAGATTAAGCCTCAGCTACCATCTCCCAACACACGAGACAAGGCTTCAGGAGTTAAACAAATGACTCCTGATTCTAAAATGGTACCCGAGAGTAAACACAAGACATTGTCTTGGGGAGTCATATGGAGGAAGAAGAGCTCGGAAGACACAGGTGTTAGCTTCAGACGTCAAAATGTTGTGTTGGCTGAACAATCTGATCAGCCGAATCCGGGACCAGTTTGTTGGCTATGCAAACTTCCCTATAATCCTGGTCAAACATATATCCACTGTACAAGCTGTGACAGTAAGAACAATTCTGAATTTGTATACTTAAGTGTAACTATTTTGATTCTTATAAATCTAATCCTAGCATCTGAATACAGAGTGGTACCACATTGAAGCAATTAAGCTCGAGGAGTCAAAAATCCCTGAAGTTGTTGGGTTCAAGTGTTGCAGATGCCGTCGTATACGAGCACCTGATTGCCCTTTCATGAATCCCAAACTCAAGGAAGAGAGACAGAAGAGAAATGCATTCTTCCAGCGCCAGAGACATAAGAAAGGAAATAATACCGGAATGGATTCTGATTCTGAAATAATGTCTGAACCAAGAGACTCGGTACCCTCTACTCCCTCCTTTCCCCTCGAAGATGCGTTTGTTCCTAAGGATTTGGATGGTGAATGGAATGGCGATGGTTCTGTGCCGGGACCCTGGAAGCTACCAGTTAGGAGACAAGTGAAACGTGAAGACACTGAAGTGAACAATAATCTTTCTTATAATGACTTCTCACCGCCTTTTGTGAAACCAGAAGTGGAGCCAACATTGCCTGTCATGGAATGTGATGCATCTGACAGCAACAACAACAACATGGTTGAAGGAGAGCTAATGTTTGACTACCAAGACATAGAATTCGAACCCCAAACCTATTTCTCGCTGACCGAGTTGCTTACAGCAGATGATAGTGGGCCTAGTGGCCAGTGCAATGGATATGACTATGACAAGGATGCTTCAGGAAACACTGAGAACCCAAACCCTCAGGTTGAGGCAATGGGACAGTGGAGAGCATTTCTCAATGACAATACAAAACCATGTCAGATATGTATGCATGTGGAGCCAGGGCCTGATCTCACATGCCAGACTTGTAACATAACAATACATTCCCACTGCTCTCCATGGGAGGAGGAATCTATTTGCACCGGAGGTAACTGGAGATGTGGTCCCTGCCGTGAGTGGATGTAGCCGTGCGAGTTTCCTCCTTCCTAAGTTAAGTTACCATTTAATTTTTATTTAATTTTTGTTGTTTTGTAAGTCTGTCTGCTTGTAGAAATATTTGGTGAATACTAGGAACATGTATTGAAAAGAAGTAAATTAAATTCACTCCTTGGAGTGGTATAAGAAAAGCTCATATTTTTTTTTGCTGTTGGTTCTATACCTCTTGTACTGCAAGTACTGCCAAGGTGTCTTTTTACTTGGGATTGAGACGATATTTTCGTAATACAAACATATATGAAGTTTGGGAATATACATTGAAGTTTCGAAAAATTCACATAAAAGGATCATGGAGAAACAGATTGAACCGAAAAAATCTAGAGGGAGGCGTTTGGCCTTGCCGATGTAAACATATTCTTAATCCCTACCATTTTTAATGTCCATAAAGGATCTTAAGATATTCTCGATCCCTACCTTTTTATATGACTTTCTTGAACACATATAGAAAGATATTATCTTTTAATCTTACATTTTAGATACTGTTATTTTATTGATGTTTAATATGTCCAGCACAGGGAGGCGTTTGGCCGATGTAAAAGTAGAACCTTTCAGGATGCGTTGAAGACAGTGATGATTTTGTAACGTGCGTTGGAAGACAAACTGGTCAAGAAGAAAACAAGAGACAAGAAAGAGAGAGTTTGAGTGTGTAATCAACTTTCACTGGGTTGTGTCTGAGTGATCCGCAAACTATTTTAAGAAACTAAAATCTAGCATCTCTGAGTTTGAAAACGAGTATAGCGATCGGTCTGCACCATTATGTTAGAAATTATAATTTGTAAAAGATTATCATAGGTTTTAGTTGGTACATTGTTGAAATTAATAATATTTAGCTATGATACTAGATCGTTGTTAGATACCAATATTTGACAGCAATATAACTGAATAAAAAAAAATTATTTCAAAATCATAGTGTGATTGATATCCATACAAAACAACCAGAAACAAAACTTTAGGACCAAGCTAAACACCAAATACATAGTGAACCATATATTTCAAAGCCGTCACCAATCCCATCAAAGAGCTCTCACCCAAATCCTCTACGGACGAACTAGGGTTTATTACTTCATGCATATCCGGAGATGAATCTACCTCCTTCTCCCACAAGAAAGCACCCATAGCAAACTGTTTCTTGCAAGACAAGTCACCATGATCTGTAGTTAGACCATAAAGTTTGAGAAGTCGATCAAGTTCTTCCTCCGACATAGCCTCGTAGTCTTCCTTGGTGAAGCGTGGGTAGTGAAGAGGCATCTGGAACGATGACCAAGAAGCAACCTCTCTGTTGTCTAACTGATCACGGTGGTATGGAGCCAATGGTTTCTTCACGACATCATCTGAGTTTGTGTTGATGGTTTGTAGTTTGTCGCCGAAGATGAGAGTAAGCTGTGAAACCCTTGACATTGTTGCGTGATGAATACTGTAACCTTTCGATTTTTTAAATGACAAAAGAAAGTATTAAAGCCGCAATATATAGTGATTGTGTAGATGAGATAAATGGAAATTTTCTTTTTTTACACTAAATGAAAAAAATGGAAAAACGTTTTCGTTTTCCTTTTTTTTTTGTGACATCGTTTTAGTTTTTCCTATTTTAATGATACAAAACGTCAAATTATTATTTGCATACTAGTAAGGAAATTGGAAAGTCTTGTACCGGTCCGGTTAGAAGAATTCGGTTCAGATCATGAACCAGATTCTTTCTCTAGCTCTTGGTAAATAACCTAATCACTTGACGACATTCTCTAAGGCTGGTTTAACTACTGAACGCCGGTTTGGATACCGCTTCGTATAAAACCGAGCCGGTTTAGTTACTGGACGCCGGATAATTTAGCCCAATCTACAAACTGCATACCGCCATATACATTGTTAGCGAACCGGACTCCAACCGTAAACGCCATGGCGACCACAGGAATGCGTTTGACCGCTGTAGAACCTTCCACGACGCGTTCAAGTCCGTTGATGATTTGGTAACGTGCGTTGGAAGATAAGCCAAGGAACACACCTGATCAAGCATACAAGTTATAGAGTGAGCCTATGTAAGCAAACAACAATGTACAGAGACACCTTCACACTTGTCTCCATAGAACCGGAATCTATTAGTACAAACACGAGGAACAATCTAGCTGATACTGTCACCGAGGATTTGTAAGCATAATAACGATACTTGTGTATCAAGCAATGGCATTTAGGTTCTTTAATTAGAAACTAGACCCGTTTAATAAACTGATGACTGATATAAGAAGTTAGAGATGGTAAAGTAAGACTAACCCCAGAGAGCAGCACTTTTGAATAGTGGTGGAACAGGGATGTCTTCTTCTGATTTCTTTATACCCCTATATTGACATAGAAGCCAGACCATATAAAACAAAACAAAAAAGACACTCAAAAGGTTCATCTCGTGATTGAGAAGTAGTTAAAGAATACCGTTTTGCCGTCATGATCAGATTTGCAATTCCCTGGCCGATGAGACCGCAGCCAAATCCAACCGAACCATACAATAGCCCCTAGATAACCACACCAATAAGTAAAAACCTAAGGCATGTAAGGAAGATATACAAAGAACATTGCTTCTCCATACCTTGTAGAAGAAAGTTGCAATACGCTGGTTAACCGAGAATTTACAACCCGGTCTTTCAGCTTCAAAAACACTTCATAACCCCCAAAACAAAAACCGGTATAAGTAACATCTTAACCGATTTGTCCATTAAATGAAGCTCTGAAGGGTGACAGTTTTTACCTGCTAGGAAGAGCTGCACAAGAACGTCTAAGACCCTTAAACAAACCTGTAGATGAAGCAACAGATGTCTTCCCGATACGCGCATGAGGAGCCAAAAGCCCAACCAAAGCAACATCAACCACAAGACCAACCAAAAGATCAGCAGCATACAACTCAAACTCACTCCAAAACTCTTCCCCTCTCTTCTTCACTTCCGCAAACGTTGCACAACAAGAATCTATCGCTATCTACATCATCAAAACCCCAAGTCCCAACAAAACCAAAATCTTTAACACTGATTCCACAATCCCTAAAAGCTTTTGATCTTTTCACAAAACAAACCTCGGTTCCAACTTTGAACAGAAACGAAGGATCTGCAAGCATTCTGTTACGTAGCACAGAACATGTCCTCATCAGAAACCCAAGCGGCCACACAGATCCCTGTCAAAAAAACCATCACCCTCAAAAACATAATTACTAAATTTCCCCAAAAAAATAAAAATAAAAACCAAACAGCTCCCTGTCAAAAAAACCATCACCCTCGAAAACATAATTACTAAATGTCCCAGAAAAAAAAAACAAACCTGAAGATGGAGATAACGAAGAAGAAACAGTTTCCTAATCCCAACAGACTTCGCCGCCTCCAACATATCATCCGGTAATATAATCCTTCTCCTCTCTGTCTCTTTCATCACTTCTTCTAATTTCAGTAACGGACCAAACTCCTTCTCCTCTTCCTCCTCTCCATCATCATCATCTCCTCCGCCGTCTCCATTTCCACCGTTACTTCCACCGTCATAATCTCCGCCGTCACAGTCGAGCTCCAAGTCGCTAAAGGTCTCGTCTTTGGATCCGGTATAAGTCCATTCCGGCACCGATCTGCCGCCGGAGATTCCCGAGCATCGAGTTGTCAGTTTCGGAGAAGAGTACAGCTCGGAGCTCCAACGGAAACAAATGGAGGTGGATTCTTCAAAGGTTCGAAAGGCTCTGCATTGATCACGAGGCAGCTCTACAGTGTTTGAAAGGTGGGAGATTTTTAAGGATAGAGACATTTATTATTATGATCCCAAAAGATCTGATCTTGAGCAAGAAAGGCTTTAGAGTTTTGGAAGTAAAAGAGGAACAAGAAGAAGGCGGAGTGATGTATGTAAGAGAGAGATTTATGGTGACAAAGGGGTTACAAGTGGCGACACTGTAATGGTCAAATCAATAATAAAAGTCAAAACATGAACACTTAAGTTTAAAAAAGAAAAAAGAATGTTTCGTGAACTCAAATCTGGTTAAGGCCTTGATTAATTTGAAGGCATTGGTTTTTTAGCCCAGGTTTAGCTAAACCAGAGTTGGTCCAAGTTAATTACTGGTCGGTTTTTAATGTGTTCTTTCAAATGTTGAGATGATAAATTTTTTTGCTAAGATGCAAATATCATATTAACGATGAAAAGGTTACAATAATGAAAACCTAGAAACAAAAGCAGAGCAACAAAAGAAAGCTTGAGATTACTCATTTTGAAAGAGATATATACTCTATCGAAGCCAAAGAGACAAAAGGAGGGTTGATAATGATGCTGTCTTGTGCCTATAATTGTGTTTCAGACTTCCCCATCAAATCCACGAGACACTGCTGCAGGGGAATATAGAAATTTGGTGTGTGGTGATCTTTACGTATAGTCACACATGCTGATCTTAACTCGTAAACATCAATTATCTCTTCTTCGTTTTGGCAGCTCTCTCTGTTCTGGATTGCTACTGATTTTGGACTTCTATTAAATTGTATCCCAAATTTGTTATGATAATAAATAAATAAACAATTTCCCAAAATAAACTTCATTCTCAGGAAGAGAGATTAATTTGAGCTAAACATTGCTTAAAGCTCATATCACTTGTTTGTTTGTTTGTTTATTCACATTCCATTACTAACTAGAAAACTTGACAAAAAATGAAAAACAACCCAAGGTCTTAAAATGATAAAGATCATAATAAGTCATGGCATCGTGTATTCTCCACTTGTTTAACATGTATTTAAGTAACTATTGTTTTATTGAATGGAGAATGAAGAGAAAATTGTAGTAAACTTGTTATTTAAGTCTTTGGGATCCAACAATTGCTATCATGACAAATTAAGCTTTGAAGAGGGATCTCAATTGACATCAAACACACATTTTTTTTTTGGATCCGGACCATTTGTGGTATCAAAAGCTCCTATATTTGTTTTGATTCGGACTACAATTTGTGGTATCAAAACTTCTCTTCTAAAAAAAGTCCTCCTCGTGTAGTGCATGATGAGTTGCAGAAGTTGAAGCATGTTATGATGAATGAATTCAAACGTCTGCAGCAAATCATGAGTTGTCCGGTGAAAATTAAAAAAAAAACTATCAAAATCAAGGCTGATGAAGACTTGATGGTAGGCTGTTCAAGCTTTGCTTCTTTACCAAGAAACAAAGAGTTATTTAAAGAACCCATTGGCGTGTCCCATGATGAAGCTCGGAATGCACAGGTTTGGATCTGGAACATTGGTCACAAAACTCATTGGCCTGCCAATTCTGCTCCGACGCCATGAACCACTCACCCCAACACCAAAGAAGAACCAGTTTCTGGTAATTCAACCTCCACTACTACGTGATAAAGAAGTTGCACAATCCTATGTCGCTATGGAGAAGAAAAATAACAATCAAAAAACGCTTGTAATGTTGTGTCGAACTTGAGACAAGGGTAGTGTATTGATAAGATCATAACAAGTCATGGCATCGTGTGTTCCCCACTTGTTTAACATGTTCCATACTTGGGAGTTATTTAGTTGTCTTTCTTTGTGTATTTAAAAAGCTATTATTTACTGAATGGAGAATAAAGAGAAAATTGTAGTAAACTTGTTCTTTTAAGTCTTATGGATCCAACATAAAACAAACAGAAAAATCATTCCCCAGGAATTTAATCGTTTCTAACAAACTCAGATAATGAAACATGAACCCAATATTTTGTCAAAAGAGAAAAAAAAAACATGAACCAATAATAGTGATAATAGTAAATTCGCTCACAAGAACCTAAGATTCTCAATGTGACCTGCATTACCAATTAGCACACCGAACCCATCGATAGGTCTGAGATCACCATCCTCCATTCCTCGGATCTCCACTTCTCTTATATTCTTTGTATTAAAATCACTATAACAGACACGAATTGGTAGACTAAACATCTCAGAAAAGGCCCAATGGATCCCATCTTGAGGCACTACGGAAACCCCATGTGAAGTTCCCCACCGTTGATAAGGAAAGGCATACGTCATGCTCGACCATTTTTTTTTCTCAACATCCTCAAGAACCCATAATGTCACCAATTCTTTTGTGCAAGAACGTACTAAACGGCCCAGTTTACCATTGTAATTTATAAGAGCTGCATTGTATGCTGCCGAGGGATACGACCTTTTGGGTGTTTTAATAAACTCAATCTTCTCAGATCTAACATCGAATCTAACTATTCTTGACTGACCAACTCTGTAGTATAGAGCACCATCAATGCATATCTGTCCAGAGAATACAGATTGGTAATTATCTCTTGTCGTGTTCTTGATCTTTCTCCACTCTTGTTTCTGAGATGAACTCAGAGTGCAAACCAAAAGCTCTTGTTGTTGGCGTTTACGGTCTAAGGAAACCACACACAACACCTTGTATTGATCTTCGACTGGATCGTACCCAATAAATGCATCCACGTATCTTCTGTCGGATGTAACGTCAGGCAACTTCATAATCTGTCTAGTGGTGGGATTATAAACGGTGATCTTAATACACATGGAAACAACACTTCTACAGCAGACGAAACCGTTGACAGAACCACAGATCACGTCGAGTTCCGAGATTGTCATGTGGTATCTTGCCAAGACACTGGAGGATTTATCATCTTCGTATTCAGGAGCCGAGAAGAGGAATTTGTCCCGGGTGTTTTTGTGAAGATATTGTCTCAATACCTCCGCTTGGGCTTTACACAATCAGAAGCCCATACGTTGTTTATATCTGTTAGTGGGCTTACGGTAGAGTTAATGAGCAAGAGCCCAAGAAAGGTGCTCCTTAGGGTTTCGTCAAAACCTGTATAAAAGGAAACAGAGGAGAGTTACTTTACACACACGTGAAAACAAAGATCAGGTTGCAGAAGAAGGTAACAAGAGATTGTCTTGGTTAAAAGATCGTCTTAGCTTACCTGAGGAGTGTTGCAATCGGATAGGAAGAACTAGGTGCTAGTAGTTCTTGATTAAGCTTCGGTTGTTAGTTGCTTAAAGGTTTATCTCTTGTATTGATCTCCTTATTACTTGAGATAGTGAATTGGAAGCTTAGCTCTTCCCCCAGACGTACCAATTGGGAACTGGGTTAACAAAACTTGTGTCTTGTCTTTCTTACCTGCAAAACAAACAAAACGTAGTGTATCAAGACAAAGGAATCAAGTTACAGCTAAAGAAATATAGCTGTAGAACAAGGTTTAGGTTAAGTAATCCGCTAATAAACCTAACAAGTGGTATCAGAGCATCAGGCTCAGCTAAAGGAATCGGTTTCAGGCTTCCATTGGCTACTGGTGTCTAAGGATCTAGTCTTGAGTTGTTGGGTTTCTCACGGACAAGTTTGAGATCATGAAGAGCTCTAAGATTAAGATTGAGGTTGAGAAGTTTGACGGTAAAGGAGACTTCGGCATGTGGAAATTCAAGATGCTTATGCAACTTGAAAATTCAGATCTGGACAGTGTGTTAAATGAGGAGGAATCAAGCTCCTTGGCTGAAAAAGAAGTAGATGAAGAACCCGACTCTAAGCCGGGTGACAAAACAAGAGTTCTTACTAAGAAGGAGAAGGACAAAAGGGCTAAGAACATGATATGTGCTAGCCTAAGCAACTTGGTTTTACGGAAGGTAATGAAGCAGACTACTGCCTTAGGAGTCTGGAAAGCACTGGAGAAGGATTATCAAACAAAAACCTTACCAAACAGAATCTACTTAAAGCAAAGGTTTGCAAGCTTCAGAATGGATGAGCATCGAAGTGTAGAAGAAAATCTGGATGTATTCTTGAGGTTAGTAGATGATTTGGAGAGTCTAAATATCACGGTGAGTGATGAAGATCAGGCTATACAAGTTTTGTCAAGCCTACCTAAACAGTTTGATTCTCTAGTACATACTCTCAAGTATGGCAATGGCAAGGAAACTCTAACTCTACAAGAAGTTACTACGTCAGCTTATGCTAAAGAAGTAGAGTTAAAGGAAGCTGGACTTATTGGAAAGACACGTACAAATGCTGAAGGATTAGTAGTTGGCAGAGGGAGAACTGAAAACAAAACTTCTAATCAATGGAAAGGGAGATCAAAGAGCAAAGGTAACAGGTCTAAATCTAGACCTAGGGGACCAGGTAAACCCAGAGAGTGCTGGACGTGTGGCAAAGAAGGTCATTACAAGAAAGACTGTCCAGACAAGAAGAATTGGAAAGGTAATGACGCGGCTAATGTAGCTCAAGACAGAGAGCAACCTATGATTCTAACTGCAAGCACTCAAGATCCAATGAGAAAGTGGGTTCTGGACTCTGGATGTACGTTCCACATAACTCCAGAAAGGGATGTCCTATTTGACTTCAAGGAGATAAATGGAGGCAAAGTGCTAATGGGAAATAACACCCAGTGTGAGGTAAAGGGCATTGGGAAGATTAAGATCATGAATGATGATGGAGTTCCAATTATTCTAAATGACGTAAGATATATGCCAGCAATGGGTAGAAATCTTATTTCATATGGCCAACTAGAGAAGAGTGGATGCAAATACGAAGGAGTAAATTTTTCTATCACTTTCTACAGAGATGGAAAGAAGGTGTTAGCTGGAAAATATCAAGATGGGTTATATTATCTACAAGGAACAGTCATTGAAGGTGAAGTAGCAGTGGTTAGAACTGAAACGAACTTAACAAATCGATGGCATTCCAGGTTAGGTCACATGAGCTTGAAGAACATGAACTTACTGGTAAAAGGCGGCTACTTGAATCCTAAAGAGGTGCACACTTTGGATTTCTGTGAACGGTGTGTCTTCGGTAAAGCTCACAAGCAAGGTTTTCCAGAGGGCAGACATATCTCTAAAGAAAA